AACAATGACTGTTTCAGTCCATACAGAGATTTTCTGAGTTTGTACACCTTTCCTTTACCAACATTTTCATAAAAGCCTGCTGGAATGTCCATATATACCTCCTCCTATAAATCACCATTGAGGAAAGCATTTTTGACATCAAGCTGGAACAAGGGCCATGAATAGGTGGCTGCTAGAGATAAAAGGATATGAACTGAACTCATCTTAGCTACTAGTGCAAAGGTTTCCAGATAATCAACATCATAGGTCTGAGTATACCCTTTTNGAGATCAACTATTTCCCAAGTTTGGTTTTTGACCAAAGCATCCATCTCATCTTGCATGGTTGTTTTCCACTCAGGTTTGCAAAAAGCCTCGGTAACATTCCTGGGTATAGACACAGAACCCAGTGAAGAAAGAAAAGCACGGTAGGAGGGTAATAAGGCACTGTAGGAAAGATGGTGTGAAATGCAGTGGAATATACACTTTCTCTTTCCCTTACGAAGTGCAATGGGAAGATCAAGGTCAGTGGGATCAGTTGCAACAATGGTGTTAGGGACAGAAACATTATCATCAGAATACATAACAGGCTCAGGCTTAAGAGGAATACCTGGAACTGTATCTACCGAATCTAGAGTTTCGGAAGGACTAACAGAGAGTGGTGTGGGTTGAGGATGTGTGGAGTCAACTATCATCTACCGGCGCTGATATTTCTATGAGGCTGCCCGTAGTGGCTCAGGTAATGAAACTGGAGGTGCAGGTGCTGGCTGAACTGATGTAGATGCTGGCTGAACTGATGGAGGCACCACAGAAACAGGAAGAGGAACAGATTGTGTGTTCTCCTCCCCAAAACTCTCCCCCTGAGGAGAACCACTCGAGAAGAAGAATGTGCATTCAGAAAAGGTAACATTCATAGTGACAAATCTGCTCCTCGATACTGGATTATAACAGTAATACCCCTTTTGGTTCTGAGCATACCCAAGAAAAACACATTTCTTGGCCTTAGGATCCAATTTCTTGCGATGAGGGCCAAGAATGTGAACAAAAGAAACACAACCAAAAACCCTCAGAGGTATATGAAATATCTCTCCATCTGGAAAAAGAAGGCTAAATGGCACCTTAAACCCCAAAGTCCGTGAAGGAACATAGTTAATCAAATGCACGACTGTAAGAACTGCATCTCCCCAGAACTACACAGGAACTGAAGCACACACCATAAGAATCCTTGCCACCTCCACAATGTGTCTTGTTTTTTCTCTTAGCAACTCCATTCTGTTGCGGTGTATATGCACAACTGCTCTGATGAACTACACCATGTTCTAAGAGATACGTGGTCAGGACYTTCTCGAAGTACTCTCTGGCATTATCTGATCTAAAAGCCTTAGTTCTCACTCCAAATTGTGTGAGAACCATTTGGTGGAACTATCGTATTAAGTTAGGAACCTCATCACGTGATCCCATCAAATATATCCAAGAATGTCGTGTATAATCATCCACAAACAAGAGAAAGTAATGGAATCCTCCCATGGAAGGGATTTGATATGGCCCCCATACATCAGTGTGAACAATATTAAAAGCAGAAGTACTTCTTTTATTACTTGGTTTAAAAGACTATCTACAATGCTTTCCTAACTAACAACTCTCACACTCCAAAGTAGATAACTGAACAAACTCAAAC